ACTGCTTATTTTCTGCCAAGTTCTGAGGTTCATTCTGTAAATTCTAAGCAACAGTCCCTGGCTTTAAGGAAATTAGTAACATAAAGCCTAAATATCTAAATACATCATTACAAGTCAATATGACAAGAACAGTAATAGTGATAGTCAAGAGCTAGCACTTCTACTGGGCACTTGCTATGTGCTAAGTACCTAGTTCCAAGCACTTGTGTGTTTTACCCAAACAACATTATGAGAGCGATGGTACTATTATCTCCATTCTACAGATGATGAAACTAAGGCTCAGGTAAGTTAAGAAACATGCCCAAGATTACACAGCTTATAAACCGATGATTCCAGATCCCATGCTCTTAACCTTTCTCCTCAGAGTGGTAAAAAAGGGCCTCTGAGGGAAACAGGACCAAGCAGCCTACATATGCTGCTCTGTTTGCTAGGTCTCCAGAATCCCCAACTAAGCTTTCAATTGAACTGCCATTAAAACAAATCAGGTCTTAAAAAACGCAACACGATGATAACAATCAGGCCACACTTATCAGACTTGTAATTCCAACAATGCATTGAAAATGTACACTATACTCTAAAATGCCATATTCCAGGAAAATTACTTCACAATACACAACAAAATGTTTTTGTTCATACAAAAGTGCTCCCTTGCTTAAATCACACAGAAACAGGCTTACATAATACATTGTGGAGAAAAATGCTGAAGTAGAAATCAGACTTTCAGAATGTGCATATTTAAAAGTCAGTAACTGATCTCAATTTATTTCAAGCCAATTATCTGCTTCCAGACATTCTAGATGAACTACACTGATGATAAAGTTTAGAGTTCAACAGACTTCTAAAGTTTAATCCAAGTCTCCCTGTACCCATATCCACCCTTAATGGTACTATAACAGACATCAATAGTGTATGAGAAGCTGCCACCTCAAACCAGCTGCTTCTAGCAGGGTTAGTGAAAAATTAGTTTCCATTGAGCAAACTTCACTTTGCCTTGAACATTCTGAGAACACAGTAGATCATTAAAGATTTATTACCTGATGTAGTAGGCAAATAAACATAGTGATTCCTATTGCTTTACCCAAAGGCCACAGTGAAAGTACAACAGAAATGAAGACAACCAAAAGGTTTCTATTTTTCCATTACCACAGAGCTAGACTTTAACCACTAACTTGTTTTGTACTAAACTTTTACCAAATAGTCTTCCTCCAGGGCTTCTTTCAAGGAGCAAGTATTCTCTTACACTGGACTGTGTCAAACATTAACCTTACTTTTGTATGGCCAGAACCAGTTTTGAGCCTGTCCAGATTGTTCTCGGAGGGCTATTGCTTGTTCCCTCATAAACCCACCTTGAAAGGCAAACAGAAGGTGAACTCAAGTGAAAAGGGTCTTCATGTGGAGAATCTAATTTACTAACTCCAGCTTAGTATTTCTCATTAATAAAGTCAAAGAAACAGATTACACTAGGAAGAAAAGGTAGGCAAATTATTAAATTTAGTTAATTATCCTATTTCACTTAAATTCTTTTAAGGACTAAGTGAAACTGTTGCAATTATTTTTACCTTTAAAAAAAATTCAGTTTAAGGCCAAATGTCTTCTCCCTTGGTGAAAAATACGATGTTTGACATGAGAATTTGAAATGTTTCTAAGATTTTATTTTCTTTAAAAAAAAAAAAGTAATTTGGAGACAGTATCTCAGAAGTCGAATACATTATTTGTCTTTACAGAAAAAAGTCAATGCTGCAGTAAACAGAGCACAAACTCATGTGTTTCCCCAACTATTATGCTTAGGAATGCACTTTCAACTTAATTCCTGCCTAATTTTGTTCAAGCATGAAAAATGTCAGGAAAGAACCATTTCTACCGTGTGAATGTAAATCAGGAAACTGATCAAACAAGATGGAACCATTTTAAAAGGCTCACATCCAGTTTCAGGAAAGAAAAAGCTTTTTAAAACTCTCTTAGCTTGGCCTGTAGATTCTTGGAAATCTTCCCTCTTGGACTTCTAGAGATAACTACTGTAAATTTAGGGCCAAACTGTTATGGAAAAACACAATGCCACAAGCTGTCTACCTGGGGAAAACCCTCTCTTTCAAAAGCCTTCTCTTAAAGGAAACAGAATCACTGTAAAGTCTTCTAAGACCAACCCCAGACAACGGATAATCCTGTGCTTGGAATCTGATTTTCACTCAATTTCAAAGATCAAAGGAATATTGACTGTAAGGAAGCATAGGCTCAAACAAGTTAAGTGACTTGGCAGGAGTTTTGTGACCTGTTAAGTAGCAGAGCTTAACAAAGATCCTTGTTTCTTGATTGGCTAGTTTAATGTTCCCACAGTAGAACATGGGGTTGTCATCTGGCAGTCCTGTGTAATACAAATTCTCTCTCTAATCAAATTATGAGCTTCTGAAAAATAGAAACTACATTATTTATTTCTTTTGAAATTCCAGAGTGACTTTCCTAATTCTGGGACCTTAAAAATAATCAAATAAATACTACCAAAATAAAGATCTAAAGGAGTAAATAAACATGTTCAGCACTAGATCTTGATAAAACGGCAAAAATCCGCTCCAAGATTCAAAAAAACCCCAACACACTACTATATGTTTATTTGTATTTCCAGAAAGATTTTGAAAGAGGACATCTTTCCTCACTCTTTTGGGTAAGTATGGCTTCTCTGATTAACACCTTAATAAATACACTTGATAAAATATTAACTAACTCTGGGACAAGAGATCCATCAAGGACCACTTTTCATCAATTAACTGAACCACAACACTCCAAAAAGAGAAACAGATCTAACCAAACAAATACATAAAAATAAATAGAACAGAAAATCCAGAAATGAACCTATGGTTCTATGCTCAATTAATCTTCGACAAAGGAGGAAAGAATATCTAATGGTAAAAAGACAGATTCTTCAACAAATGGTGCTGGGAAAACTGGACAGCTGTTTAACATGCAAAAGAAGGAAACTGGACCACTTTCTTACACCATACACAAAAAATAGCTTCAAAATTAATTAAAGACCTAAATGTGAGACCTGAATCCATAAAAATCCTAGAAGAGAACACAAGCAATAAGTTCTTTGACATTGGCCATAGCAACTTCTTTCTAGATACGTCTCCGGAGGCAAGGGAAACAAAAGCAAAAATAAACTATTGGGACTAGATCAAAATAAAAACTTCTGCACATTGAAGGAAACAATTAACAATTCTAAAAGGCAACCTACAGAATGGGAGAAGATATTTGCAAATACATATCCAACAAAGGGTTAGTATCCAAAATATATAAACAACTTATACAACTCAACACCCAAAAAACAAATAATCCAATTAAAAATGGGCAGAAGGGGCACCTGGGTGGCTCAGTCGGTTAAGCGTCTGCCTTCCGCTCAGCTCAGGTCATGATCCCAGCGTCCTGGGATCGAGCCCCACATCAGAGCCAGCTTCTCCCTCTCCCTCTGCCTGCCATCCCCCCTGCTCACTCACTTGCTCTCTCTGTCAAATAAATAAACTAAATCTTTAAATAAATAAATAATAAAATGGGCAGAAGACATGAATCGACATACAGACACAGACACATGAAAAGACACTCAATATCACTGATCATCAGGGAAATGTAAATCAAAACTACAATGAGATATCACCTCACACCTGTCAGAATGGCTAAAATCAATAACACAAGAAACAAGTGTTGGTGAGAATGTGGAGAAAAAGGAACCCTCCCGCACTGTTAGTGGGAATGCAAACTAGTACAACCACTGTGGAAAACAGTTATGGAGGTTCCTCAAAAAGTTAAAAATGGAATTACCTTACAATCCAACAATCATACTATGAGGTATTTATCCAAAGAATATAAAAATACTAATTCAAAGGGATACATGCACCCCAATGTTTATAGCAGCGTTATCTACAATAGCCAAATTATGGAAACAGCCCAAGCATCCAATGACTAATGAATGGATAAAGAAGTGATACACACACACATACACACACACACACACACACACACACACACTGGAATATTACTCAGCCATAAAAAATGAAATCTTGCCATTTGCAATGATATGGATGGAGCTACAGAGTATTATGCTAAGCAAAATAATTCAGTCAGAAAAAAAAGACAAATACCACATGATTTCACTCATACGTGGAATTTAAGAAATAAAATAAGCAAAGAGAAAAAAGAGAGAGAGAGGCAAACCAAGAAACAGACATTTAACTATAGAGAACCAACTGATGGCTACCAGAAGGGAGATGGGTGGGGAGATGGGTTAAATGGGTGATGGGGATTACGGAGTACACTTGTTGTGATGAGCACTAGGTGATGTATGGAAGTGTTGAATCACCATATTGTATACCTGAAACCAATATTACACTGTATGTTAACTAACTGGAATTTAAATAAAACCTTTAGGGGCACCTGGGTGGCTCAGTCACTTTAGCATATGCCTTCAGCTCAGGTCATGATCCCAGGGGCCTGGGATTGAGCCCCGCATCTGGCTCCCTGCTCAACAGAGAGTCTGCTTCTCCCTTTCTCTCTCCCTCTGCCTCTCCCCCAGCTTGTGCCTGTGTGCTCTCAAATAAATAAATTAAAAAATAAAATAAAAATGTTAAGATAAATTATATATATAATTATACATATATGCACACAGGGTCTAGTCATAGTAGCAAAAGAATATTAAGCAATTTTATACTATTCACTTAATATTCAATTACAAATTGGGGGAACCTTTGCTCACTTGTGTCATATCTAAGAAGGCTTTGTCTAACCCAAGGTCACGAAAATTTATTGATTTATTCCTATATTTTCTTCTAAGAGCCTTATTGTTTTAGCTCTTACATTTAGGTCTATAATCCATCTTGAGCTACTTTTCATTTTAGGGTCTAAATTTATCTTTTTTGCATGTGTATATTCAACAGTCTCAGCACCATTTGTTGAAAAGACTACTCTTTTCTCATTGAATGATATTAGCAATTTTTTCTTGAAAATCAACTTACCATAAAAGGTTTATGTCTCCATTTATTGAGATCTTCAATTTTACTCAGCAATGTTTTGTAGTTTTCAGTGTATACCTCTCACTTCCACTAAAAATTTCTATTTTATCCTTTGGATGCTGTTGTGAATGGAACTGATTTCTTAATTTCCTTTTCAGATTGTCCACTGAAATATATAGGAAAAGAAGTATGTAGAAATACAACTGATTTTTGTATGTTGATCTTATATTCTGCAACCTTGAACATATTACCTATAATAGTTGTTTTTCAGATTCCCTAGGATTTTCTACATATAGGGTCATGTCATCTATGAATAAAGACAATGTTACTTCATCCTATTGTACCTGGGTGCCTTTTCTTTCTTTTTTTTTCTTGCCTGACTGCAGTGGATAGAACCTCCATCACAATGTTATATAAAACTGGTGTATAAAACTGCCTTGTTCCCTCCCTTGGGAAGAAAGCATTCACATTTTCATCATTAAGAATGTTGTCAGCTGTAGGCTTTTTGTGCCCCCCACCCCACCCAGTCAGGTTAAAGAAGTTCTCTTCTGTCCCTAATTTGTTGAGACTTTTTATTATGAATGGTATTGGATATTGTAAAATGTTTTTGTGTGTCTATTAATCATCATAGGAGTTTTATCCCTTATTTTATTAATATATTTATTTTCAGATGTTAAAACAACTTTGCATTCTTGGTGTAAATCACATGGGTTGTGTTGCATAATACTTTCTATATGTTGCTGGATTCAGTTTGATTATTTTGTTAAGGATTTGTGCATCTATATTCACAAGGGATATCGGTCTGTAGTTCTCTTGTGATGTCTTCTCTGGTTTTGGTATAAGGGTATTACTGGCTTCATTGAATTAATTGGGAAGTATTCCCTCCTCCTTTCTTTTCCAGAAGAATATGTGAAAGACTGGTATTATTTATTATTTAAATGTTTGATAGAATTCACCAGAGAAGTCATCTGGGCCTGAGCTTTTCTTTGCGGAAAGATTTTTAATTGCTAATTCCATTGCTTTGCTTGGTATAGATCTATTCAGTTTCTCTACTTCTCCTTGAGTCCATTTTTACTAATTTATGAATTTCAAGGACTTCCCCCTTTGCATCAAAGTTGACTATTTTGATAGCATAAAGTTGTTCATAGTATTCCCTTACAATCCTCTTAATTTCTGTAGGGTCAGTAGAGACGTTCCTTCTTTCATTCTTAACTTTGGTAATTTGTATCTTTGGTCTTCTTTTCTCAGTCAGTCTAACTAAATTTTGTCCCTGTTAACCATTTCAAAGAAGCAATTTTTTGTTTCATTGACTTTCTCCATTGTTTCTGTTTTCTATTTTACTGGTTTCCTCTCTAATCTTTATTTTGATCCTGCTACTTGCTTTAGGTTTAGTTTGTTCTTATTTTTCCCTTTTCTAGTTTCTTAAGGCAGAAGCTTAGACTACTGATTTGTAATCTCTTTTCTTTTCCAAAACAGGCATTTCTCCTTGATTTCTTAATGTTTCAGTAGCTAGGACTTGGGTCTTTGGACCTCCTGTCTCTACCTACACACACTGTCTTGATGATCTTGTCTGGTCTCAACAGCTTTCAATACATGCGTATACTGACAGCTCTCAGGCTAGACCTCTTCCTCTAGATTACAGGGTCATATACCCAACCTCTTACCTTAGATATCAAACAAACATCTCTAATTTAACAGGCCCCAAACCAAACTCCTGCTCCTGGCCCCCTTACCAGACTCACTCCTTCACCAGTCTCGCACATCTCTGTTTATAGCAACTCCACCCTTACAACTGCTCCAGGGTCATCTTTTAACTCTATCCTTGACTCACTCTTTCTCCCACATACCAAATCCAATCCATCAGAAAACTGTTAGCTCTACCTGCAAAATACATACACCCTAATCACTTCAGTAGCTCCCCTGCAACCACACTTCAAGCCACCATACCCTCACCTACATTATACCTTATAACTGGTCTTTTCCATCCTTGACCCCCCTGCCCTACATCTATTCTCAAAAAAACAGCCAGTGGGAGGGACCCTGTAAAAACTGAAGCTGAACCACCACACTCCTACGCTTAAAACCTGCAGATTCAGACTTCCTATTTCTATCAGAGTAAAGTCAAGCATTTTCAATGGCCAAAAGCCCTACAAGATCTGGCCTCCAATTGCCTGTCCGATCTCATCCCCCACAACTGTCACTGTTGCTTACTTTGCCCTAGCCGCACTGTTTCCTGAACATCCTTAGGTAGCATCTTCCCACCTAAGAGCCTCTCCATTGGCTGTCCTCCTTCCTGGAATACTTTTCCTCCAACATCCATGTGACTCACCCTTTTTCACCCTGAAGTCTTTGCTCAACTATCACTTCTCTATGAGACTGACCCTGGCCATGTCTCCCTAAATTGCATTCACTGCCACCACCAGCACACCCAATGATTAGTAGTCTCTCATTTTCCCTATAGCATTTAACACCTTCAAATATCCTGTGTGTTAATAGTTTAGTGTTTAATAGAATGTAAACCCTTTTAAGGCAGAGATTTTGTCTGTTTTCTTCATAGATGCATCCCCAGAGACTAGGTATATACATGGTAGGTATTATTAAATATTTGTTGAATGAATAAGTATATTTAAAAAGCAGAATTTATCTACCAGCCATTATAAAATGAAAAAGTATAAATGCCTGAAAAGTTGAATTTCTTCATTCCTTCATTCAGTCAATAAAAAGTGAGCTTCTTCTCTTTGCCAGGTACTGCAGTAGACCCTGGGGATATTCAAGACAGACAAGGCCCTGTTGACATGGAGCTTGCTTACTAATTTTGTCTCTCCTCATAGGATGTAAAAAAAAAAAAATTTAAAAATACACAGGATAATTCCTATAATAATAAGTGTTACAAAGACAAGAGAATACATAAGTAAATGTGTTCATGACAGAAAGATAGAGATTCCCCCTGCTAGATGTCATCTGAAGTAAAACCAGGATGAGGAGAAGCCATTCATGCAGAAACCTGGGGAGTAAATATTTCAGGGAGACAAAAAGTATAAAGTTTGGAGTGGGAAATGCAGTTTGGTAAATTCAAGAAACAAAAAAGCCAGTATGACCTGAAGGTGGTGTTTGGGGGGGCACAGTGGGACGGCATCCTGCCTCCATTGTGGAAACCCTAAACCCACCCCAACACTTTTAGCAATTGACACGCATGGGGAATGTATTTTTACATCACCTCCTCCCTCCTGCGTTCCCTCTTCTGCTCCTTTATCCCTCTCGGAAAAGTGCCAATGGCATAGATAACCAATTCAAGGAGACTGTTCTCTAGCTGACCTAGTACTTCTGTGTAAATTTGAAAAAGTTGTGCCTTACTCAGAACATTTTGTTATCTATTAGAAGAAATATTTAATAAACAAGCATATCTCCAGCTCACTCGCCATTGCGCAATGCAAACATGCACAGCAGTATGCAGAGATAGAGGAGGATAGCTTTATGCAAACCAAACTGGTTCCACTGTTCCTGTTTCAAATATCAAATGCTGCAGATGCTACACATACATGCAGATTTGCATGCATTGCAAATTATTACTATTCAGCATTAGTTGTAGTTGGCAACTGATTCTGTTTGGACTACCCTCATGAGAAAAGAGTCTGAGTATTGTATCAATGACTGGAGAAAAATATTATGAGCACGGCCAAGTCCTGCAGATTCAATCAGCTGTAGCATGAATGTGCCTCTATAAAAGTGGTGAAAGCTGCTCCACTCTTTCAGCAAGTGTTAGAACTACTAATCACCTAAGTGTATCTAAGGAGCTCTGTGGGATAACCTCTTCTACCCTTTGGAATACTTTTGCCTGTATTATATTATGGGTGAATATAATATGGGTTAATAATCATATAATGATTCATGGGTTATTTTAGCTTAGCAGTTTACTGTTTTAGGATTTTTTTTTACAAGATAAAGCATATTTTGGTGGAGTAACAGATTCTAAAAAATTCCAGTTTAATTGCAAATGAGGCCATTTTTTTCCATAATTAAGGCTTCAGCTTTCTAACTAACTTACGAAAGGAAAAAATATGTGTCTTTGACTTTACAAGAAATAATCTGTGGTACTGTGTACTCTGTGCTTTCTATATGGATGGCATTAATATGTCACATCAATATGACTGAAATTAATAAGCAACTAATAAAATCCACATAGATCTTTTCCTGAAAGAATGTTTCCAATGGGGGTGCCTGGGTGGCTCAGTCGCTAAGCGTCTGCCTTCAGCTCGGGTCGTGATCCCAGGGTCCTGGGATCGAGCCCAGCATCGGGCTCCCTGCTCGGCAGGAAGCCTGCTTCTCCCTCTCCCACTCCCCCTGCTTGTGTTCCCTCTCCCGCTGTCTCTCCCTCTGTGTCAAATATATAAATAAAATCTTAAAAAAGAATGTTTCCAATGGTGAGAGAGTGCCACCTACTGTTCACTGTGGATTTCAATACAGCCAGGCCACACAGTCCTTCCACATTAAATCATCACAATTTTTCAGAGGCCATTATCAAAATATGAATTATGACTTTCTGAAGAAATGTTTTATCACTATATGCTCTAGAAACTGAGTTTTCAAAAAATTAAGTCTTCACTTCTAAACAAAATAAGTCTTCACTTCTCTCTATAGCTACAAAAAAATTATTACTAAAACAATTTTTAAAGATTTACGTATTTATTTTGAGAGAGAAAGAGAGAGAGTGAGCGGGGCAGAGGGAGAAAAAGAATCCTCAAGCAGACTCCGCATTGATCGGGGAGCCCGATGCAGGGCTCAATCCCAGGACCCTGAGATCATGACCTGAGCGGAAATCAAGAGCTGGCCACTTGACCAACCGAGTCACCCAGGCACCCTGCTAAAGCAATTCCTAAATCTTAAACATCTTGGCCCCAAATGCAGTTGAGAACAAAAAGCATGGGCTTCCAGGCCAAATCGGTTCAAGTCTGGCCTCAGGTGTTTTTAAACCTGAAACTGTTTCCTCATATGAAAAGAACTTAATATACAGTTGACATTTGATAGATTAGAGATATTGACTACTAAGAAAAATAGGTTTCCCACTCAGATTTATAAGTTAACGAGTTTCTTTTGGCTTTTCATCACCCTCCAGTTATCTTTAAGAAATGTTTT